CCCCCCCCCCCCCCCCCCCCCAATCATTCTTGCTTTTTTTTTTCTTAATATTATGTTGAAAACAGAGTGGCGTGACTGCTTAAACAAAAACATCACTGAATCTCTCTTCAATATTAACTAATAGCAACACAGAAATTAAAGCTAAACTATATTTCAAACAAAAAAGAAAATATTTATGAGGACTTTTCAACTTTTTGGCTATAAAATACTGACACTGTGAAGAGATAATGCAACAGTCCTTTTGAACTCAACCCTTTTAGTTTCAAATGTTATTTTTTGGGGCTACTCATGTAATGATATTCTTTTAGCAAGTTACTCTGATCTGTTTATGATCCTTGCACTCTTATTAGACTTTACTGCTGACCACAGTACAGTGTGGTTGGAACATTGGGTTTGGATTACAGGAAGCCTTAGAATGGTTTCGTTCTTACCTTAGTGACAAAAGCTTTTGTGTTAATGTTGGAAATTTTCTATCTTCAGCGCCTCTTTTCTGCGGGGTTCCTCAGGGCTTGATTATTGGAGCGCTTTTGTTTTGACTGAATCTGCTACCTTTGCAGTCTATTCTGAGGAAACATGGTCTTTTTTCATTATTTTGCTAATGGCTGTGAGATTTATCTACTCTTAAAGTCCAATAATAATTCTTGCTCCATGCACCACCTACTAAAATGTCTTGATAACATCAAGGCACAGATGGCTTCTATTTGTTTTAAGTTTTAATAATAAGAATACAGAAGTTATTGTTTTCAGCCCTAGCTATACTGCTGGCACTCTTCCTGCAAAATTTGGCTCACTCAAGCTGTATCTTGGGCAGTCTATTATGAGTCTATGGATAATTCTAGACTCTGAATTTATGTTTTATAAGAAGGTTAACTTTGTTCTATAGAAAAGCATTTCCATTTAAGGCATATAGCTAAATTTGTCATTGTTGACCAGACCTGACCTTTAGAAAATAGTCTAAGCTTTCATCACAACTTGATCAGTTTATTGTCATGCACTTCATGTCGGGGTAAGTCAGGTCTCCCTTTCATGTCTACAGCTTGTCCAAAATAATGCTGCTCATCTCTTAACAAGAACTCAGGTTTGAACACATTTCATGTCCTCACTTCACTGGCTCCTTTTTGTCACAGAATAGATTTTAAAATTCTGCTGCTAACTTATAAATGATCAGAGTCAGAGTTTCTTTATTGTCATTCGCACCTCATGTGGTACATGTGGTGGAACGAAATTATGTACACAGGGTCCCAGTTACGTCCAACAATAAAATGTAAAAGAAAAACAGTAATAATATCTAAGATATGAACTAAGAAAAACATCAACTAAATATACACTAAGCACCATAACATAAAAACATTACGTCGAACATCAGCACAAACATGAACATGAGTCTGTGTGAGCAGATGAGCACGCATGAACACATCAACATTGAAACAGATCAGCAGCAACATGATGTGATTTTTTCACAGTGATTATTTTGGTTAGAGATTCCTGAGTCTAACAGCCTGAACTAGTTTTCTTATACCAGTATTCAGTAGTAAAAAGAATGAACACACAGCTATGGGATGTGAAGTACACTCAAACTATTGGTCAGAAATGTTAAACACCAGCATTGTGTGTAAGTGTGTGTGCTGTTATAATTGTGTAACTCATGCTTCCAGGGCCCTGCGTTTCTGCGTGTCCAGAGATATCCCTGCAATAAGAAGGAAAGCAGGGCATTGAGTTTTACCGAGGAGAAAGCTCATTGGCAGATCCCCATGAATGAAGTTAACATCGTCTGTGATGTCATTAGCACAAATGGTACTGTACATGTTCATCCACCCATCATTATCACATGCATGATGTTCATTGTCAGCTCTTTGTGCTCAGAATTAGTTTTTAAAGAGAGTTTAAGAATACCAAGTAAGTGATGTACAAAACAAAGGAATTAAAAATTTAAGAATAAAATAATTCAAGTCAAACTTCACAAAAAAAAAGTTTTCTGAAAACACTACTACAAAATAAACCAGTAAAGTCCAAATCATAAATCCAAATTCTGTTCAAACAAATCCAGATCCAAAGCGATTTACAGTTAGTTTTATTTAATTACAATACAATACGGTTATATTTAGTACATTATAAAATGCCAGTCATCAAAGAGTTGTCTATTGCAGCCAGAAGATTACATCATATTTTCCACTTTGAAATAATACCCTTATCTTAAGCCAGCACAGCGACAACAGTGTAAAAGAACAACACTGCCATCTACTTTGACCAGTTGGTATGTGAGAGGATAGAAAAGAATGTCGTCAAGTCATATTTATTTATAGAGCACATTTAAAACTGAAACTGTTACCAAAGTGCTTAACAAAAATATCACAACATCAAATAAAAAGTAGCAAGATATATTTACAGCACATGGAATAAAAATATAAAACCAAAAACAATTAGAAACAATGAGATACTAAATCAGATCACGTTGTGTCAAAAGTCAAGGAAATAATAACAAAAAGCATAAACTCAGTCAATGTAGACAAAACACAACATTTTGGTCCTGACTTATCTCTGTGGCAAGAAAAACATAAAGCATAGGGTTAATGACAGCAATAATCACATCTACAAACATAGAGAGTAAAGAATGAGACCATGTGGTCAATAAGTCCTCCAGCAGTCTACACATATAACAGTACACAGTGCATATAAGTATTCACAGCACTTAATTTTTTCCACATTTTATTCCCAATTATTTGCCTTCATGACTCTTAGTTTTCTTCTTTTTTAAAAAAAAATAATAATTTCCTTAGATAGAGAACTTTACTAAGTGGCTTTTATGTATGTGAATGTTCCTGTAAAGTGCCCTGAGACAACTTTGTTGGGATTTGGCGCTATATAAATAAACTGAATTGAACTGAATTGAATAAATTTGCGAAAATCTCAAAAAATATTTTTTTCACATTGTCATAATGGGGCATTGTGTGTAGGAATTTGAGGAAAGAGATTAATTTAATATAATTTGAAAGAAATCTGTAACATAAGAAAATGTGGGAAAAGTGAAACATTGAATACTTTCCGGATGCACTGCATTAGAAAATAAAACAAAATGCTGTCATTGTAACCAACTTATAAATTGGGAGAATTTTCACAAGGAAGGCAAGATGGTGGCGCAACTGGTATAGCTGCTGCCTCTCAGCGAGAAGGTTGTCGGTTCAAATCCCGGTCTGGGTGTGGAATTCGCATGTTCTCTCCGTGCATGCATGGGTTTTTTCCGGGTATTCCGGTTTCCTCCCACAGACCAAAAACATGCATGTTAGGCTGATTGGTAACTCTGAATTCTAAACTCCAAATATGTGGCCCTGTGATAGACTTGTGACCTGTCCAGGGTGTACCCTGCCCTTCGCACAGTGATTGCTGGACATGGGCACTGGCGACACCCATGACCAAAAAATGGAAGAATCGGGTTAAAGATAATTGATGGGTGGATGGATGTCACAAGGAACACAAGGTGAGTTAACATGGAGGAGATCACTATACTGTGGCATGAAGACCAACAATACTCTGCTGATGTGGAGATGCAGACTGAGTATATAGGCTGGGACTAATGAAGATATGCAAAATATATGTAACGGAGGGAACAGGAGACAGGTGGAGATGGGTGTGGCAGACTGACTGGAAAAGTGCTGAGTTAGTAGGCTAACTACACAAAAAAGCAGAAGGCATCTGAAAAAAATGGAAAACAAGTAAGTAAAACAAAACACTGGAATCACAAAACACACAAAAATCCACCACTTCCCACTCTGCCCCGAAATTTCCCAACAAGTGCTAGAGGTCGTAGTTTGTTTGACATATTTTGCCAATTGACACCCTCCACCTCAAGGCTACGCCTAGAAATTATGATAATAAAAGTTATAAACAAAACTGTTGACAATGTACAGCCATTGCAGAGTCTTACCCTCATTGGAAACAATTGTGACATACACTGCCCCCCCAAAAAAAGTCGCCACCTGGATTTAAGTAAGCAAATAGGTATGAGCCTCCGAATGGATAATTACTGCATGGGTGAATATCTTTCATCTGCAAACAAGTTATTTAACCCCAACTGGTGCAATGAGCTGCTTCTCATTTCTTAAACAACCATGTCGAAAGACACATCGTGTGGTCGTGGAAATATGTCAGTCTGTTTGAGAAGGGTCAGATCATTGGCATCAAGCAGAGAAAACATCTAAGGAGATTGCAGAAACTACTAAAATTAGGTTAAGATCTATCCAACGCATTATTAAAAACTGGAAGGATAGTGGGGACCCATCGTCTTCGAGGAAGAAATGTGGCCGGAAAAAAATGTGGCCTACTGTACAAGCCTGTGGGGGCAGTGCTATGATCTGGGGTTGCTGCAGTTGGTCAGGTCTAGGTTCAGCAACAGTATGTGCTCAAATAATGAGGTCAGCTGACTATCTGAATATACTGAATGACCAGGTTATTCCATCAATGGATTTTTTCCTCCCTGATGGCACGGGCATACACCAGGATTCATCGGGTTTGAATTGTGAAAGAGTGATTCTGGGAGCATGAGACATAATTTTCACACATGGATTGGCCACCACAGAGTACAGACCTTACCCCATTGAGAATCTTTGGAATGTGTTGGAGAAGGCTTTGCGCAGTGGTCAGAATCTGCCATCATCAATGCAAGATCTTGGTGAAAAATTCATGCAACACTGGATGGAAATAGATCTTGTGACATTGCAGAAGCTTATCGAAACAATGCCACAGCGAATGCATTCCGTAATCAAAGCTAAAGGTGGTCCAACAAAATATTAGTGTGCAACCTTTTTTTTTTTTTTGGTGATGACTTTTTTTGGCCAGACAGTGTATTAACGGCTATGCAATACAAGTTTGCGCTTCTGTCGTTAGGGACTGAACAGCCCTCGGTAAAACGCTATCCAACATCTACACTCAGCACTTCCCACAGAATGGCCTATGAGTCATGGTCATAAGCCTTCTTAAAATGAATAAAACCCATAGACCAGATGAGAAAATTCCCATGCTATCTCTAGTACCCAAATAAGACTAAAGAGCTGTTCTATGATTCCATATCCAGAATAGAAACCACATTGTTCCTCTTCATTTTGAGGTTTACATACCTATAGGGCTCTCCTCTCCACCAAGGAGTTGACCTTTCCATGTTGGCTGAGTATGATCCTTCTGTAGTTAGAACACACCTTCTAGATCTGCTTCCAAAAGATGGCCACCACCACTCCAGACTGCTACTCTGTGGCCACTGCTCCTGATTACAGTGCAATTGTGCATCAGCATTGTGGTTTTAGTAAAGACATAGCTAAGCCAGTAGGCAAATCATTATTTGCATTCCAAATCTCATTCATGGTCAGGTCATGACCCAAAAAAACATAATTATGAATACAGGTGGCCAAAATAAGTTTCTTCTGCAGGTAAGGTTTCTCAACTCTGCCTTAAGGTCTGGCAATTCTTCACAAGAGTTAAAATATCAAATATTGCTGATGTGATTTGAGACTGCCTGTTTCGAATGGACAATTCATACTCAAAGAGAAACTGCAGGAAAGAAGTCCTGATAAAATCCTAACACTGTCCTTCCACTGCAGCACATGATGTGCAATGCAACCAGAAACTAGACAGATAGCAAAGTGGACAGAGTGGACGTTTATTTTCAGTTGTGAATGAAGGAGTTTGAAGAGGATGATCTGCCATTTCTGTTGCTAAATGACAAGAACCATTATTTTGCAAATTTGTCACACAGAGACCACCACCCTTTTCAACAAATGATGCTGGAATACATCCCTATGCTACCCGCACAAGATGCACTTCCTCCTGGCCATCACTACCACGGCTGCCCGTGGGAAGCACACACTCTCTCGGTCAGCCAGGCTATGCAGAGCCTGTGCTATGCAGAGACATAGCTCTGCACTGTCTCCTCCATGCACAAAATTGTTCAACTTCTTTCTACCAGTTTTATGACTTTCTTTAAAAGGCTGCACAGAAGACTGTTGGAGTCATCCTCCCCACCATCACAGACATCTACACCTTCAGATGCAGGAAGAGGGCCACCTGCATCATGAAGGACCCCACTCACCCAGCACATATACTTTACTTTTTGCCCCGCTCCCCTCAGGAAGGAGGTTGAGGAGCATTAAGTGTAGAACCACTAGACTGAGGAACAGCTTCTACCCTGAGGCTGTTAGACTCATGAATCTCTAACCAGAATAATCACTGTGAAAAATCACATCATGTTGCTGCTGATCTGTTTCATGTTGATGTGTTCATGCATGCTCATCTGCTCACACAGACTCATGCTCATGTTCGTACTGCTGTTCGACGTAATGTTTTTACGCTATTAGTGCTTAGTGTATTTTTAGTTGATGTTTTTCTTAGTTCATATCTTATATGTTATTATTGTTTTTCTTTTACATTTTTATTGTTGGATGTAACTGGGACCCTGTGTACATAATTTTGCTCCATCACATGTACCACATGTGGTGCGAACGACAATAACGAAACTCGTGACTCTGACTCTGGCTCTATCTGCTCACCACAGACTCATGTCCAGGCTGCTGTTGTTACGCCGTATTGTTTTACATTATTAGTGTTTAGCATATATCTTAGATCTTTTAGTGTACGGTTTGATGTTTGTTTAGCATGTATATTTTATTGTATATCTTAAATCCTTATTTACTGTTTCTTTTTATATTTTTTATTTTGCTATTTGTGGGTGTAACTGGTACCCTGTGTACATAATTTCATTCCATCTCATGTACCACATGTGATGGTGATAATAAAGCTGACTTGAACTTGAAAAGTTTTTTTTAATTATCTTTATAGTTGTTGCTGGAACAGTTGTAATGTTGGCTATTTTTTCCAACAGCCTCAGCCAGCAGTTCTTCAGCAGATGCTACTGTAAAAGATCAGCTTACTGCAACCACTTTTCAGAAACAAACAAGCCCATGAAGTTCTGACCAATCACAAAATGCTCCACACATACCCTGTAAGAAACTACCTCTGACTTGGGGCAATGTAAGATATGGATCCCAGCTGCAGGGTGCGAGGAAAAAGTATGCCATTTTTGTTAAGTGCCCGTCAGCAAAACACAACTTCAGCACTCCTCATGGACTATAACCAAGCCTTTAGAGATAAAGTGAGGACCTTAGACACCTAAGAGTGGCTCGAAATAAAACTACTGCCCCTGCACTACAAGTGGAATCAACTAAGGAAGTTCGAACATCTGGGTCAGATGTCTCCTAAACACCTCCTTGTGGAAGAGTTTCGGGCATGTCCTTACTGGAAGAGACCCCAAGGCTGACCCAGAATGCACTGGAAGACTTATGTCTCTAAGGATTGCCTAGGATTGCTTTGGAGTTGGTGCACCAGAGCAATCATATCTAAAACTAATGTCATAAAACACCAAATGTGAAGTTCTGTGAAAATTATAAGCCATGCATCTCTGCATTTATTTTGTGTCAGAAGCAGAAAATATTTGAATCACTGACCCACATTTCTGTAGTTTTTGTTGAAATATCTAGAAGACCACTACAAACAACTTTGTGCTTTTCATACAACTAGTACAACTTTTAAAAACTGTTCAGATGTTAAAATAAATATATTTTGTCCAACTTTTACATATACATTTTGTGCATTTTTAAGTTGGAAACAAATTAAATTTACAGAAGTTCTGCTTGTGTTTTGGCAGACATGCTGTATGTGGCCATGTGTAACCCGGTGTGCCTGTACTCCATGAAGGAAGGTGGAGAGACGATTCATTGTATGGAGCTCTATGATGTCTTCCCCAAGACTATCAGTGGTGTCTGGCAGCCATTTGTTACCATTGCTCCACTTGGGAGTCCTCTAGATGGCCAGGTGGTGCTGCATGAGGAACAGGTATGCACTCTCTCTCCTTCTCTCTCTCTCTCCCTCTCTCACACACACACACTCTCTCACACTCTCTCACACTCCCTCACCACCACACGCACACATTTGTATGACTCAAAAATTTGGTGCTTTTCCACTGTCTCAACTCATTGCACCACACCAGTTAAAGACCTGCCCTCTGTTGGTACCTACCCTCACTCAGCCTGGTTTATGGGACCACCTTGTTTAAAGTTCCAAGCGGGCTGCTCCGAAATGCCAGTTTTGATGTAAGCAGACGAAGGCCATTGATTGGCCAGCGGAACTACGTCATTGGATGACCCACCCAGCAATACTGCAAACAGCATCTGAACCACCACTTCCTCTCTGATCGTGTTGATGGATGACACCACAAGAAAAGTGTGTGTGTGGGGGCGGGAGATGGAGGCCATGAGGAAACCATTACTGTGATGTGGAGTAGCTAAAGGCCCAGTCATCTCGCCTGTTATGCCTTAAAAAGCTTTGTTGAAAATTAATAATTTTGCATCACAAAGCCTTTTTAGCAAACTTCATGCAAAGCATACATACACTAAGATACAGAAGTGTCCTACACACAAACTCAGATGTGCATAAACCACAGGATTCCCATTTAATCTTGAAAAGTCAGGAAAAATATGGATTTTGACTTTGGCTAGAATAGTCAAGTTTGAAAATTCATAAATTAATATGGAAAAAAACATTGGTGTTTCCAGACTTTATTATATATTGGCTTTTCTAGAAATCTTCAATCAAAATTTCTAAAATTTACTTAACTATTCAAGGTATTTTTCAAACCAGCCACTCGTGAGAAAAAGCCTTTGTATCTCAATGTGCTTGTCCGAAGCCTGGGTCAACTGTTAGGGTTATGTCAGGAAGAGCATCTGGAATAAAATACAATTCGGATTCCAAAAAAGTTGGGACACTAAACAAATTGTGAATAAAAACTGAATGCAATAATGTGGAGATGGCAAATGTCAATATTTTATTTGTAATATAACATAGATGACAGATCGAAAGTTTAATCTGAGTAAATGTAACATTTTAAAGGAAAATATGTTGATTCAAAATTTCACATTGTCAACAAATCCCAAAAAAGTTGGGACAAGTAGCAATAAGTGGCTGGAAAAAGGAAATTGAGCATATAATGAACAGCTGGAAGACCAATTAACACTAATTAGGTCAATTGACAACATGATTGGGTATAAAAAGAGCTTCTCAGAGTGTCAGTGTCTCTCAGAAGCAAAGATGGTAAGAGGATCACCAATTCCACCATTGTTGCCCAGAAAGATAGTGCAGCAATACCAGAATGGTGTTACCCAGCATAAAATAGTAAAGACTTTTAAGTTATCATCATCAACCGTGCATAACATCATCAAAAGATTCAGAGAATCTGGAACAATCGCTATGCGTAAGGGTCAACGCCGTAAAACTCTACTGGATGCTCGTGATCTCCGGGCCCTTAAACGTCACTGTACCTCAAACAGGAATGCCACTGTCAAGGAAATAACAGAATGGGCTCAGGAATACTTCCAGAAAGCATTGTCAGTGAACACAATCCACCGTGCCATCTGCCGTTGCCAGCTGAAACTCTACAGTGCAAAGAGGAAGACATTTCTAAGCAAGCTCCACAAGCTCAGACGTTTGCACTGGGCCAGGGGTCATTTAAAATGGAGTGTGGCAAAATGGAAGACTGTTCTGTGGTCAGATGAGTCACGATTTGAAGTTCTTTATGGAACACTGGGACACCATGTCATCCGGACCAGAGAGGACAAGGATAGCCCAAGTTGTTATCAACACTCCTTTCAGAAGCCTGCATCACTGATGGTATGGGGTTGCATGAGCGCTTGTGGCATGGGCAGCTTGCACATCTGGAAAGGCACCATTAATGCAGAGAACTATGTTCAGGTTCTAGAACAATATATGCTCCCATCTAGACGTCATCTCTTTCAGGGAAGACCCTGCATTTTTCAACACGATAATGCCAGACCACATTCTGCAACAATCACAACATCATGGCTACGTAGGAGAAGGATCTGGGTACTGAAATGGCCAGCCTGCAGTCCAGATCTTTCACCTATAGAGAACATTTGGCGCATCATAAAGAGGAAGGTGCGACAAAGAAGGCCCAAGATGATTGAACAGTTACAGTCCTGTATTAGACATGAATGGGAGAGCATTCCTATTTCTAAACTTGAGAAACTGCTCTCCTCTGTCCCCAGACATCTGTTGAGTGTTGTAAGAAGAAGGGGGGATGCCACACAGTGGTAAAAATGGACTTGTCCCAACTTTTTTGGGATTTGTTGACGCCATGAAATTTGGAAACAACAGATTTTTCCCCTAAAATGATACATTCTCTCTGTTTAAACTTTTGATATGTGATTTGTGTTCTATTCTGAATAAAATATTAGATGTTTGCACATCCACATCATTGCATTCAGTTTTTATTCCCAATTTGTTTAGTGTCCCAACTTTTTTGGAATCCGGTTTGTACTTACAAAAACAAATGTATATTTGTCCAAGTAACACCATACCAGATTGGTTGAGGCCAAAGTTAACAACCCGCCACTGGTTTTGTTGACAAAACAGGGTGCTGAATGCACTACTGTTAGATGAAGACCACAAGTAGGAACACATGCCAGGCAACAGTTTGAGAAGATAAATGTCATGAGTGTAGAACTAAGGGTAGAAACTCTAAATGTATGGACAATGACAGGCAAAGGTAGGGAGTTGGTGAAGGGGTTGTTCACCCAGGGCACCAATCAAACTATGACCGCTCCTGACTGTAGGAAGTGAACCAGAACTACAACTCAGTAGGACAAACACCTGTTATTATTCACTGATGATCCTGATTCTCTAAGACAGGAACAGCTGTCCAGTTCAACGAGTCTTTGATAAGTTTCCCAATTTTAGAATTTCTGCCAACCTTTAATTTTATTGTATTTTTTTATTTCAGTTAAATCTTCCCCCTCAGGTGAAATTCCAGTTTTTGCCTCAAAGCAATGTTTTTCCTATCCATATTAGCCATAACTTGTTATATTCCTAAATGTCAATAAACACCACAGTAAACGGTACCAAACTTACTTCATTTGTGCGTGTTTTAATGTACCGGTAATTATGATGTTACTCTGAAGAAAAGAAACATTATTTAGAGTAATGAGATCGATATACATATGAATCATAGATTTATGTCTTCATTCAATTCATAACGTATTCATTTTATAACATATGGCCCTACAAATCTATTGTCTAAAAGACAGGAGATAGACCTGGTAGTGACAGAGCTAAACCACCAGGTTAAATAAGAATAAAAATGAGATTTTCAGAGATACAGCACAGGTTGAACAACTGGAAGAAAAGTTAGAGTTGAAGTTTGTAACTCTTCCAGAGTGGTCCTCTTGGTGTTAGTGACTACCGGTAATATTGCTCTTTAAAATTTTGATTTCTCTTTGGCATTGAAGAAGGTTTTCATGCAAGTTTTACGTTTCATTTTACGTTTCTCACTTAAAGAAACTGGTCCAGATGATATGATTTAACCTTTTTTGTTGTTATCTCAAGGATTCAAGGATTCAAAGTTCTTTTTTTGTCATTCACACCCCATGTGGTACATGTGGTGGAATGAAATTATGTACACAGGGTCCCAGTTACAACCAACAATAAAATGTAAAAGAAAAACAGTAATAAGATCTAAAATTTGAACTAAGAAAAACATCTACTAAATATACACTAAGGACTAATAGCTCAAAAACATCACGTCGAACGGCAGCACGAACATGAGTTTGTGTGAACAAATGAGCATGCTTGAACACAGCAACATGAAACAGATCAGCAGCAACATGAAACAGATGAGCAGCAACATGATGTGATTTTTTTTCACAGTGATTATTCTGGTTAGATATTCATGAGTCTAACAGTTTCAGGTTAGAAGCTGTTCCTCAGTCTAGTGGTTCTGCACTTAATGCTCCTTAACCTCCTTCCTGACGGGAGCAGGGCCAAAAGTGTGTGTGCTGAGTGAGTGGGGTCCTTCATGATGCAGGTGGCCCTCTTCCTGCATTTAGAATGTGTAAATATCTGTGATGGTGTGGAGACTGACTCCAACAGTCTTCTGTGCAGCCTTCGCCATTCTGCAAAGCTTTTCTTTCTGCTGCTGTGCAGCCTCCATGCCACATGTTGATGCTGGAGCACAGGATGCTTTCCACTGCACACCTGTAGAAGGAGGTGAGGACTGAGCTTCCCAGTCCAGCTCGCCTCAGCCGCCTGAGGAAGTAGAGTCTCTGATGAGCTTTCTTGATCAGGCTGGTGGTGTTGTTGCCCCAGCTGAGGTTGTCATTCAGGTGTACACACAAGTATTTGTAGCTGGAAACCACTTCCACCACAGATCCTCTTATGTTCATGGGGGATAGGTGTGTTTGTTCCTTCTGAAGTCCGCAATCATCTCCTTTGTCTTCTTCACATTGATGTGAAGGTTATTCTCTTTGCACCAGCTCTCCAGGTGTTCCACCTCCTGCCTGTAGCTGGACTCATCATTGTTTGTGATGCATCCCACCACCGCTGTATCATCTGAAAATTTTACAATATGACAGCCTGGATGGGTAGCTGCACAATCATACGTGAGCAGAGTGAACAGGAGAGGGCTCAGCACACATCCCTGAGGAGATCCAGTGCTGAGGGTTTTGGTGGCGGAGGAGAAGTTATGGGTCCTCACTGACTGAGGTCTGTTAAGAAGTCTAGTACCCAGCTGCAAATGGAGGGGCTTAGTCCTATTGTGAGTAGTTTGTCCATTAGGGTTTGGGGGATCATGGTGTTGAAGGCAGATGTGAAGTCCACAAAGAGCATACGGATGTAGGAGTCCTTCTGCTCCAGGTGGGTGAGTGCAGTGTGGACCACAGAGGAGATAGCATCCTCTGTTGATCGGTTCTCTCGGTTTGCATACTGATGAGGGCCCTCATTAATGGTTGTTTTGATGTGAGTCATGACCAGTTTTTCGAAGCATTGATTGGGGTGAGGGCCACTGGCCGATAGTCATTCAGACCAATCACTGTAGAGCCTTTTGGGACTGGGATGATGGTGCCAGTCTTCAGGCAGATGGGAACTGTCTCCAGGGTAAGTGAGGTGTTAAAGATGCTGGCCAGCACCTCGCAGAGCTAATCAGCACATTCTTTCTACACTTTCCCGGGGATATTGTCTGGGCCGGTTGCTTTGTGAGGGTTAATCCTCCTTAAAGTATTCCTTACTTCTGCTGAAGTCATGCTGAGAAGCTCTTCATCCAGTGGTGAGGTGAGTCTGGTGCTGGGTGGTCTGTTTGGTTCTTCAAAGCATGCGTAGAACTTGTTGAGGGCATCAGGCAGTGATGGGTTTTTGGGGCGTTGTTCGCTTCTGCCTTTATAATCTGTTATGCACTTAATACCCCTCCACATGCTCCGTGGGTCTTGTGAGGTGATTTGACTCTGGATCCTCTGTGCATATGTAGTTTTGGCCCTTTTAATACCAGCAACCATCTCTTTCCTTGTCCTTCTCGACTCCGGTGAGTTTCCAGACCTGAAAGCAATGTTCCTAGCTTCCAGCACGGTATGCACCTCTGAATTCAGCCAAGGTTTTCTGTTTGGGTAACTTTTAACATATCTCATGGTGGAGACGGTGTCAGTACATGTACTAATGTAGCCCAGAACTGAGCATGCGTATTGGTCCAGATCAAGTGCTCCTTCATTTTCAGCAGCTTCTCTGAAAACCTGCCAGTCTGTTCGTTCAAAACAATCTCTCAGTATGGGGCCACTGTCCTAGATCCAAGATTTAACTTTCTTTTTAACTGGTCTGGAGCATCTCAGCGGGGGCAGGTAAGCAGGAGCCAGGAATATTGAGATGTGGTCTGACAGTCCTAGGTGGGGGCGGGGTTCAGCTTTGTACGCATCTTTTACGTTTGTGTAAACACGGTCCAGCGTGTTGCTCCCACGTGTTGGTATGCCCACAGGCTGGTAAAATCTTGGGAGGCAGTCTTTTAGATTCACGTGATTAAAGTCTCCGGCCACTATGTGAAGAACCTCAGGGTGTTTGCTCTGCAGCGAGCTGAGGAGATCATGGAGTTCCTGCAGAGCTTCATTAGCATTAGCATTTGGGACTACATTATGTAAGCAACTGTTTTGAAAGCCGCTGTAAATTCACGGGGTAGATAATGTGGTCGACATTTCAATGTTATTTGCTCCAAAGCCTTTTAGCATGAGTTGTTTTTTTTTAACCACAGTACAGTTTGTGCACCAACTTTTACTCACGTAAATGCACACTCCGCCTCCCTGTGATTTCCCCGTTAGCTCACTGCAGCGGTTCGCTCAAAAAAAAAGTCCGTCATCCAGCTGGAAGACTGTATCTGGCGTTTCGCTTGTAATCCATGTTTCCGTGAGGCAAACCACCGCACACTTCTTCATCTCCTCTGAGGCGCCCGCCCTCAGATGAAGCAAATGCATGTTGTTGTCCAACGAGCGGACGTTTGACAGAAAGCGAGATGGCATTGGGAGTTTTCTGGCTTTAGCATTACCACGTAGCCTCACCAGAACCCCCCGCCTACCTAGATGATTGAGCTTACAACCCTTTTTTTGAACCACTTTGGCCTTGGTTGTCCTCAGGCTGTTTCTGTGAGTAGCAAGTTGGCCATCTGGCCTAAAACATTTGATTATTATGCATGATGGATTGATTGTTTTGGATGGGTGGGCTTTGTTTGCATGCTTTAAAAGCCTACTTCTGAGATTTCACCAGGCGGTAGTCTTGAAAAAGTGAAGGCTACCTATGGGACAGATCTGTTTGGCAGGCCGCAGACTGATGAAGTCCTCTGGATGGGAGATGATACATTTCTCACTTAAAAGAAACTAGTTCCGATGACATGATTTAACCTTTTTTGTTGTTTTCATTTAGTTTTTAATTTAACCCTTTAAGGTATGTTTTTATTCATTTTATTTTAATTTTTGTCAAAAATGCTGTATTATATTGACCATAGCGGATTTATGACAGCAATGAAAGCATACGACATCCAAGTGGTTGTGTGTTTTTTAGGTACTGTAGATGTCCATATTTGTTTCATCTACCACAGTAGTTAACTTTTAGAATGGAAATATGAAATGGAGATCATTCATCGTTTTTAGTTAGCTTTTCTGTAATATTTGTAAGAAAAATGCAACTAACAACTTAGCTAAAAAGCATAAACAATCTCAGGTATGGCACCTTAAATAAATTTTAAAAATACAAATTATGTCATATTTTTATTTTGAGGATAAGACTTTGCAAGATTCTGATCAAAAATATTTTAAGGCAAAAAAGCCTTTATATGTAATACGTTCTGAAAAGTTTAAATAAGTCACTGCAGCATATATATATATATATATATATATATATA